ACAGGAAAGGAAGAAAAGACCAAAATAAATGTCAGAAGAGACTCTGCAACTTGCTCTTGAACAGAAAATAGCTAAAGCAAATGGAAGAAATGATATAAAAGAGTTGAACAGAAGATTTCAAAGGGTGGCTTGAGAAGACAAAATAAAGTGTTATAATGAAATGTGCAAAGACCTGGAGTTAGAAAACCAAAAGGGAAAAACGCTTCCCATTTCTCAAGCTGAAAGAACTGAAGGAAACATTCAAGCCTCAAGTTACAATACTGAAGGATTCTATGGGCAAAATATTAAACAAAGCACCAAGCATCAAAAGAAGATGGAAGGAATACACAAAATCACTGTACCAAAAAGAATTAATTGATGTTTAACTATTTCAGGAGGTAGCATATGATCAGGAACCGATGATACTGAAAAAGAAGTCCAAGCTGCACTGAAGGAACTGGCAAAAAACAAGGCTCCAGGAAATGACAAAATACCCATTGAGATGTTTCAACAAACGATGCAGTGCTGGAAGTGCCTACTTGTCTATGCTAAGAAATTTGGAAGACAGCTACCTGGCTGACTGTCTTGGTTCTCTTGTGCCACTATAGCAGAAAATACCAGATGGATGGTTTTAACAAACAGGAGTTGAGAAGGTTAGAAGTCCAAGTTCAAAGTACCAGTTCTAGGGGCTGGGTGAAAGCTCCTCAACCTTGAGCTTCAGCTTTGCCTCTTGCTGCCAGCCCACTGGAGCTGGAGGCTTCTTTTCACTCATGCAGTTGTTGGTTGCTGATGCTGACAAACCCAAGGTAAACAAGTAAAAGACTTGGCACAGTCCCAAGATTATCAAGCAACATGGCAGACCACTAGTTCAAGTCCAGAAACAGTCCCAAGATGGGCAGACAACATGGCAAGATGCTGATTGACAACTTGGCTACCCGCAGGATCCAAGTGTGCCAAAAAGCTCAAGACCTTCCTCAAAGCTGCTTCTTATATACTGGAAGCAGACCACATCCCTAAGGCAGCTACTCAGCTGCTCACAGCAGATTCCACCATGGAACTGATCACCAGTCTCATCATGGGGAATACTACATCCAGCTGTGCAGCCACTCAAAACCTGCCCCAATCAAGTTAACACATAACCTTAAGCACCACACCAACTAACTGTAAAAGAACCATATTTGTGCCCATTCTAAAGAAAGGTGATCCAACAGAATATGGAAATTATCAAACAATATCATTAATATTACATGCAAGTAAAATTTTGCTGAAGATAACTCAAAAACTCTTGCAGCAGTAAACTGATGGGCAACTGCCGGAAATTCAAGCCAAATTCAAAAAAAGGACGTGGAACATCCACCTGACGTCAGATGGGTCTTGGCTGAAAGCAAAGAACACCAGAAAGATGTCTGCCTGTGCTTTATTGACTATGTAAAAGCATTTGACTATGCGGATCATAACAAATTTTGGGTAACACTGCAAATGAGAATTCCAGAACACTTAATTGTGCTAAAGAGGAACCTGTATATAGACCAAGAGACTGTTGTGCAAACAGAACAAGGATATACTGCATGGTTTAAACTCAGAAAGGATGTGCATCAGGGTTGTATACTTTCACCACACTTATTCAATCTGTGTGGTGAGTATGCTGAGTGGGAAGCTGGAGTATATGAAGAAGAGCATAGCATCAGGACTGGAGGAAGACTCACTAACAAATTGCAACATGACACAACTTGCTTGCTGAAAATGAAGATGACTTGAGCACTTACTGATGAAGATCAAAGACTACAGTCTTCAGCATGGATCACACCTCAACATGAGGAAAAGAAAAATCCTAACAACTGGACCAATAAGCAACATCACGACAAATGGAGAAAAGATTGAAGTTGTCAGGGATTTTATTTTACTTGGCTCCACAACCAATACCTGTGGAAGCAGCAGTCCAGAAATCAGATGTCATACTGCACTGAGCAAATCTGCTACAAAAGACCTCTTTAAAGTGTTAAGAAGCAAAAATGTCACTTTGAAGACTGAGGTGCACCTAACACAAGCCATGGTATTTTCCATTGCCTCACATGCATGTGAAAGCTGGACAATGAACAAGGAAGATCGAAGAAGAGTTGA